TTTGATATATCGATACATTCGACACATCCTTAGATTGAATCCAATTTAAATAAAGATGCTTAGACAGGAATATCGATATCTCGTTTACTATAATAGATCATTATCATGATGTTGCAGGAAAATATTAGAATTGAGGTTAAAATAGGTAAACCAATAACTCAACTGATCTATATTTTTGCAGGAAAATTCTGTTTATACAGGGTGAGTCATAAATAAGTGCAAATATTTTCGGGGCTGATAGATCTGGATAAAAGAAACATATTTTCTCTTTACCGTCTTTCAAATAAGTCCAAAATAACGGAGTTATTTTATTTGAAAATTTGCAACAAATTTTTTTTTGGTTAAATTTTAAGGTAAATTTAATCTACCACCCAAGTTGCCATATTATTAAGAAATTATGTTTTTTTATTTAAAAACTAAAAACATTTTCAAAAAATTCCAAATTTTCAAAATGTTTTCGCAAAAAAAAAACATAATCGTGTTTCGGGGGTCGAAATATACTACCCCTAAAAATATCTGCACTTATTTAAAACTCACCCTGTATAGTTGAATTCCAAAAATATATAGTTTTAGGGTTTAGAACCTAGTAATTTTTTTAACATATTTATTTAAAGACAATAGTTTTAACAATGGTTTCACCGAGTGAACTAATGAACTAAATATTTGTTAATCTATCATTTATACATACATAGGTATCTATGAATGTAATTTTTGATTTAAAAACTTCTTTTTTTGCTTTTATTTAAGAGTATAAGATTTCTAATATATTTAATGGAACATTAAAGATATTAAACCCAAGTAATTTACTTAAGTAATCAAATTTATATAGATACCGCAGACAACAAAATATAAAAAAAGCATAAAGAAAATAGAGATATAAGATTTTATATAAATTGAATTGAAGAATATACAACAAAAAAGAATGTTTGGTTTTTTATACTTCAACTAAAACCTGTTTTTTATAATATTAAATGAAAAGGCACAAATTAACTATAACAGATGCGAAAGAACACCGAATTCCGCGTTCAGGTTTCTGTGACCTTCAGAAAGAGTTCATAGACAATCCGCATCAATGTATAGTTTGGGTTATTATTTGTTTGGGTGAAAATAATCTGCACCAATATGTTATCGAGGCATATAAGTTCACAGTAATTTAATAGATTACTCGTCATATTATATCAGTTCGTAGCAGATTAGGATAAAAAGATATTTATAGTATAAAAAATTAATTTATTTAACAAAATTTAATTAACAATGTGACAAAATAGTTACCTTTCTATTGGTTCTATCGGACTTTTTTCGACTATATAAATCTTTATTTGTAAACTTTAATACATCAAATATTTTCAATCTAATAAATCATTTAATGATGTAAATAAGAGGAAATTTCTCACATGGGTGGTAAAATTCTATAGTTTTCATTATATCAAACAGCCTCTGAGAAATGTTTTCAACTCAAAATGCCTTTAATTATGTTTGACTACATCATTAAAAAGGGTCTTCAAATACATCAATGTGATATTTGTCTAAAATTTGCAAAAGCATCCAAATCTCTGGATAACTCGAAATTATTTACCCATTTAAAAGCCTTTGATCATGAAAGTGGAAAAATTTGTTCATTTTATTTACAGGCTGGAAAAATTATTTGTATAAAATTTTGATGAGTTTTGCAGTGAAGAAAACATTCAGAGGCTGTTTGATATAATGAAAACTATAGAATTTGACCAACCATGTGAGAAATTTCCTCTTATTTACATCATTAAATTATTTATTAGATTGAAAATATTTTATGCATTAAAGTTTACAAATAAAGATTTATATAGTCGAAAAAAGTCCGATAGAACCAATAGAAAAGTAACTATTTTGTCACATCTTTAATTAAATTTTGTTAAATAAATTAATTTTTTATACTATAAATATCTTATTTTTCCTTATAAATACACACATTTGTATCCCATTTTAAATAAGATATTATACAAATTACCAAAACTGTGAATGTTTGAACAGTTCAAAAGTTCAACAAAAATCCTACACGCGTTTTTAAAAAGAAACATATAACCACGCACTATGTCACTCCAGCAAGCGAATACGACACAGCATGGGTTTCCGGACTAAACGACTGGTGTATTACACCACTCAATAGACGTGTCGGGTTTGCCGAACGGTTTCCGATGCAGTCGCTTTCTTTCGCATCTGTGGAAGAGGGGAATCTCCCCAACGAGATATGATGCATGTTTTTTTGTAACACGCTGTATACAATTTTAACAACTGAAATAAAACTTTTAAAAATTACTTTTGAACTCGATACCTATCTTTTTCCCAATTATAATTTTGAGAGCATCACCTCCGCATCAACCAACTAACAATAGAAATATAAAGAGTCGATGGACGGGAGAACTTACATTATCTCTGATATTACCTTGCTCTTATTTTTCGCCTTGGCAAAGTGCCCTTTATATCCCACATTCCCTTTCTAGTTTAGCTAATGGATACTGTACCGTCTCTGGGGCAAGTAATGCTCTCCATCGATCTTTCCAATAGAATGGTAGACAAGAAAAATATAAAAATGGAATTAGGAAATGTTACTTATTATATTTGAAAGTACTAGTGCACATGGTTCAGTGCACTAGTGCACATGGCACATGTTTTAGTGGCACATGGTTTAGTGCACATGACATAGTGCACTAGTGCACATGGTTTACACTAGTGCACATGGTTCAGCTCAATTTCGTATGATTTACAGGGTTTATAACTAATAATATACGAAATAATATACATGAGTAGAGGGAGATGGCCGATTCTGCGCCAGGCGGCGGCGGCGGAGGAGGCGTAATATGACGTCATCAGGTAAGAACAGTTAAAATACGCTAATAAACAAGAATAAACAGGTTTGAACCGCTTTTAAACTACTTTGAACTGCTTTTTAGCTTATTACAACAGACCTGTTCATTTTTTGTTCAAACCCGTTTATTTCTGTTTTAAAGCTGTTTAAACCCGTTTATTCTCGTTTATTAGCGTATTTTAAATGTTCCTAGCTGATGATGTAACATGACGCCTCCTCCGCCGCCGCCGCCGCCTGGCGCAGAATCGGCCATCTCCCTCTACTTACATGTATTGATTTCTTTCGAAAATCGACAACTATGAAACTATAAACCCTTCCCGGACACAAAAGGTACATTGTGAGACAGGAAATTGTAGAAAGAAACTAGCCCTATAACATAGGATACAACATTTTAATGAACAGTGCTTTCCATAAAATCAATAAAATGAAAAATATACGAAATAATATACATGTAGAGAGAAGGATTTTTTTTATTCTCTTTAATTTTGCTCTCTTCAAATTTTTGCGAAAAACGAATAGTTTTCGAGATATTTACAAAATACAGATTTCGGGCGTCATTTTGGCAAGATGGTGGCGCCAAGTCTGGAAATGTGCATTTTATGGATTTTAGTTAGGGACCCCAAAACCTGCAAAGTTTCAAAACTTCCGGACTTTTTTCCAAACAGAGCCCTTTTTTGACCCCCGATGACTGAACTAAACCGCTGTCTGCTGAAAATTGCAAGAATATTCTAGCCAAATATCATCAGAAATCAGAATTGATGGAGCTTAACCAACCAGAGGCAGGTGTATAACGAGATCAAACTGAGGAAATGGAGGTGGATTGGTTACACTTTAAGGCAAAGTGGCAACAACATCGCTGGCAGAGTTATTGAGTGGAATCCAAAGGCAGTAGAGGAACTGATCGTCCAAGACATACATGACAAAGGACAATTAAAAAGGAGATCGAAACAGTAAACCGATAACCCGGCGCTGGAGAGCGTTTATGGAAGACCTATGCTCCACGTAGGATTAAGGACAGAATGACATGAATATGTCGAAAGTTTTCAAATGGATTAGTCTCAGTCATTCCAAATCATTAGTCCAAATAAAAAAAATATCGATTTCTCTGCAACGATTCCAGAGAATAGTGATTTAAAGCCATTAAAATACTGAGCGGCATCATTAGAGAAAAGCGTTTCGCGTACGTATTACCTTTTCAAAATATTTAATAAACTACTTCAGTTAAAGTATATAAACTCGTTTTTTTTCTGGACATAAAGCGCTCTATAAAAGTTTTAATTGGACCCAGAAGTGGCCGTGGAGGGGGTTGCCTAAGAACGAAAAAATACGACTACGCAGCCCGTGGTCGGAAATCTTAATAGTTAAAACTTCCGGCGCGATAAAAAGTTTTCTTAATTGCTACTGCGTCATTACTTAATAAAATACGCTCGTTTTTTTCTGGCCTTCCTAACAATTTCATTGCAACAACCTTAATTAAATAAAGAAGTTGGAGCAGGTTTTATTCGGATTACCTACAGATTAAATAAAGATTGTTAAAAATTTTAGTAGTAGGGATTATTTTGACTAAACTCATATCTGAAATAAGGGTATCCCAATCTTCCGTGGACATAATTTGAATAAAAAGATTAAGCAAGGAGTATAATAGGAAATGCGTAATTTTTAGCATTTCCTTTTTTTTAGTGATTGTTAATGTTTACTGGATTTCTAATTTTTACTGTAACTTTTACCCCTATTACGAGTATACCAAATTCTTCAAAAAAATTTGTAGAAAACGTGTTTGCGCATTTTATAAAATTTTAAAATCTAAGCCACTTTTACCATTTCCTAAATTTATGATAAACTAAAATTTTGATATACTTACCGCCATTTATTTGTTTCACTTGTTTTTTCACTCCCAAATACAATCAATAGAAACTAATAGACTACAATAATCAAAAATAGATTTAGCTATTTCCAGATACATTCACCTAAAAGTAAATCGATTGCAACTGAAGTTTAGACAATCTTATATTGCTTCGCACCTTACTCTGTTGAGTTCTTCTATCACAGAAAATGTTATCTTTAATTAATATTATTTAAAGCAAAAAAGATAATTATTTCTTTTTGTTCTAAATTTTTTTAGTAAAAAAATAGAAATGTAAAATTGAAAAATGCTGAAAAAGAAATTAATAAACGTTTACTTACAATTTATTGATCTAAATGGAATCTAAACACTGTGTTTGGTAATGGTTTCACCTACCTGCAACAAAGAAAATATGTTTAATATAAGTAAACATTTAATATGCAATTAAAAGTAAATTTTAGGAAATACAAATTTTACGAAATTAGTGATACAGAGTTGTTCACCACATACGACACGGAGTATTGTAGCTAAACGATTAGATTTTTACAAATTGTAAGTTTTGGGTTCGTTGAAGGACTATTAGAGCTACAATTTAAAAATATTTTTACATGATACAGAGCGTACCTGTTGTTATAAATAATAAATAAGCAATCGTCAAAAAATGAAATAATATTTTTAATTTGTTAGTTTTTACCACACTGTCTAATACAAATAAAAAATTATTTTTTTTAGTATTTGGAGCAATTATTATTAGTCAAAGCAAACAGTCAATTAATGTAGTTTGAATACTGGAATCATATTAATTGGTCCCCTTTAACAAATATTTAAACAGTTTTATTTTTATTTTATAATGAAATAAACCAACTTTATTGACAATATTAGTATCTGTACTCAATCTATATATATATATCTGTCAATATTCCATGGGTATATTGATAAATGAGGTCTAAATTATAAGAAAATGTATTTTCTACCAAAACTTCAAGATATAGGTAAAAAATGGTATAACACAATTTGATAAATAATTAAATTCATTTTTTTTCAAAGGGATATATCCAGAAAATCGACAGCAAATCGTTTAAATTAAATATCTCGGAAACTATGCGTTTTCGAAACACAGTTTAAATGGGGCGAATATAGAGCTCCACTAGCTCTATTCCTAGAACCCCTACTGATCGTTTAGCTACCTACCGTTTCCGAGGGGAAACATCTTATTTTTTTACACCTTTATTTTTTTTTTCTACTGATATAATTTAATGTAGCGACCAAATCCCCTAAAAAACTCACTAGATTTAATATCCCGCCCGGACTATTAATACCAAAATTTGATGCTAATACACTTAAATAATCCTGTAAAAGTAATCACTTACTGTATTTTGGTAATTCCCGTCAAAACATTTTATTCGAAACTAGAAAGAAAGGAAAAAATAGAAAAAAAATGGCGAGTTCGATCTGATTTCCATTAAAACCGTTCTGAAGCCTGGCTAAACGCGAGGGGCAAAGAAAAAAACGCGAATTTCAAATGGAATCGGCAAAATCCACTTATATTCAATTATTCCAGTGAGCAATAAAGCCCTATAACCCTCTATACAACGTGCCATTTTCCCTTTCATACTTATTTGATGCATTCAGGATTTTTTTTGCCCGCGCATAAAACGTTCATAAATTTTTAATAGAATATTGCCAGAGCTTTCTCTTTAAACTGTGAGTAATTGCTAAGCGTTTTAAAAAATGTATTAATATTTTTTTCATTATTGAAATTATTTGATTTATCATAAATCATATTATGTAACACCTAACTCAGGGTTGTTCAACCAAGTTGCAGAGGTAATATAATGTAATATTTTGGCAAACTGTATAACTAACAATTTAAATGAAATAAGGGAACGTATGTAACGTTGGGTTAAAAAGATTTTTTATTGTGATTTACCTCGGATGCGCCCTATAGAAGCACTAATAGGAAAATTTGAGGAGAATAGGTTATGTAAATCAAGTGCTAAATTTGTAACCAGCCCTACTTATTTTCAGTGGCGGCTTAACCATGAAATGGTAGAATACCTAGCTACGCTAGATATTCTGTGCTAATGGGTATTAAAGTTAAAAATATTAACTTAATTTACCCTAAAGTGAGTTTATATTATACGAAAGCTTTTCTTTATATAGGTATCGTGAAATTTTATATTTTCTTTTTTTTAAAATTTTATACCGTGTGGTGCATCGGAAAACGGCATTATCTCCCCAGATAATTTTATGCAAAAGCTTTAATAGACATTTTTGAAGAGGCGTTAAAGTTGTATTTTTGTCTAGAATTTCGTTTCATTTGGAATAGTCGTTTAAAAGTTGTTTGCAAAAATCTGCCTTCAAATTAGTAAAATTTATAATACGACCCAGAGAAGCTACAATTAAAATACCAGCAAAAATGTGATTGTGTCATTGTCAATTTCGATGTCACATTTTGTTTAGAAAAATTGAAGGTACCAAATAGAGTAATTTTGTATATAAATGTATAAAATAATTATGAATTTCTCAACTTCTGAAAAAGTTGCGATAGTTAAACGGCATTTTGCAGGAAATAATATTCTCGCTGTGTTAGATAATATGGATAATACCTATGTTCTCAGCTCAGTCTTCGGAAAGCATATACCGAATAAGTCAACAGTTTAAAGAATAAACCTGTAACGTTTTTAGTTCGTTACATGTCTTTGTATATGATATCAGGCGTATCATCATCGGATTGCGTATCGTTCAGGCCTGATAATTTATTTGTCACACTTGGCATAATTTTTACGTTCCCTAGTCGCCAACCCTGTTATCGTTTAACACAAACCTGTTATCGCTCTGAGGAGGCGCTGTCAACATCGCTTCTGTCAACTCTCTCCGTGCTTAACCTCACTTTGTTTGGCCGCTCTGTTGTATCCCGGCTTTTAGAAATGGTGATTATTTAAATCTTGCTGTATAATTTGAATCAGCTGCTATTTCAAAGCAACAGGTAAAGATGAGATATTATCCATTTAGATTCGATATTATTACTGCATATTTTTAGGGTAGAGTTTTGGATGTCCCAACTTAACTTGTATTTGTATTTTGCTGGCACGTTGGCGTCCCTTTTTTTTGTCCTCCAGAATGTTGCATGGAAGAGAGGACAGTTTCTTTGTTTATTATTGAGCCTTCGGAAGTAATTCGAGGTAGGTTTATTTTGTTTATTAGATCTTGTTTGATTTTAAACAAGAGTTTCATATTTTTAGGGTCCAAGGTACCGACTATTTACAAGGTAGGGACATTATCCAAGGTCCTAGTAGTATCCAAGGTACGGGTAGTGTTCCCCTGTACCGTTATCTTATGGACGGACTGTTTCCAAGGTACGGGTAGTGTTCCCTTGTACCATTATCCTATGTACGGATGTCCTGTGGACGAGTGTCCCCAGTAGGAATGATTTTTCTTGCATATAAAGTGTCCCAGCGTGGATGTAGCTTGAGCCCCATGCTGCTTCGCTCCCATATCTAAGCCTAGTCAGTAGCTACGGCTGTATTGATTCATGGTGTTCTCATTCTGGCCCCTTTTGTTGTTTTGGCCAACAGGATCGCCGACAGACAGTACAGAGATATGAGCCTACCTCACGCTGCTACTCTTCGAAACAGGATTGCCTCAAGAACAGCTAAGTGTAGATTTAGGTTTTGGTTTTCAGTCGATTTTCAGTCTTAACTAAATAACGTACATTTTAAATAATATCGTACAGACTATATTTAGTGGTTAGATTATTAAGAACATTTATGTCGATTTAGTAGTTACAATATGATTTAGATTTTAGGTTTCATTACATTATGCCTTGTAATAATATTACTTTTTTATAGATATTATTATTGCACTAACATCATATAAAATACATCAAATTAATTAAAGTAATGCTACATTTCATATATTCTCTTAAACTTTACATGTCTTGTATTTTATCATAGTTGTTTTCATAGATATTTAGTACAACTCTTAACACCACTTTCTTTGACATATAACCACTATATATTTACTAGAACTTTACAATGTCATGTACCAGCAAAGAACATCATGAATGAATATAGTCACTAGTTCTAAGTGATAAACAACTGTGTTTTCTTTCTCTGTTCATGCCTGGCGCCCAATATTTATAATTTCAAGTTATTATTGTTAATTAGTTCTTTCCAGTGAAATACCTTATCCACGACTGCTCTACCAACGAAAAGCTGCCGTTCGCAGTGGTAATGTTTATAAAAAACGCTACAAACCTAAGGTTTGAAACTAAAGGCACTCAGGTATTAAGCACATGGAAGTGTGAAGATAAAAATGATTGGAACAATCTTGGAATAGTCTTCATGTTGCAGAAAAGAAAAACATTGACTCCCGTTTATTAGGGATACAGTAGGAAAATACCACAGGATCTTTCGCCCAACGATTTCTTCCTGTGGAGCACACTCAAAAACTGTCTCTATGGAATTAAATACAGAAATTTAGATGGACTGAAAACGACATCTGTGTGGAATGCTAAAGATTCTCCCCTTAACAGCTTAGTATTGTGAGGCGTGAATTACACAATCATTTGGGGTATTGTTTGGCTGTAAATGGGGGATTATGAACCATTTTATTAATTAGTAGAGTTTAATAAAGTTTCTTGTATTACAAATATTTCGATTATCAGTTGAATTATTGTGGATGTGTGTGGTTAGTACAGTTTAGTAAAGTTTTATATAGTTACAAATGTTTCTTTTATTTGTTAAATTATTGTGGATATATGTGGTATGAACGAGTCCTGCGAGTGATCGGGTAATGAACAGCAAACAAATCATATACCGCGAATACTATTCTCAGTTCAACTAATTCTTTTGTAGATGATCATTCCAGTTCAGAAAAAATAAACACCTTTTTGAAACCACATAAATTCTTGTAAACACAAAAATGTGACATCGGATTTGACAATGAAAAAATTATATTTTTGCTGGTATTTTAATTGTAGCTTTCGTATTATAATTGTTTTTAGTAATTTCAAGGTAGATTTTTGCAAATAATTTTTAGATGCCTAGTTCAAATAAAACGAAATTTCTTTTAATTTTATCATTGCAAAATATAATTGGTTGTGCTACAATACTACGTTATACACTTGCGTGCATAGAAATCGGCCCAAAGCAAACTTTTGAAGTTAACTATATATTTTTTAGAATCTATTTGTTAGATTAAGAAAAAATACATGCTGTTTGAAAGACAATTTCATATTCTTTGAAAAGTTTAGAGATATTAATTTGTATTTTAGTTTCTTTGGATTAAAATTATTAAATTAATGCATGAAACAAATTATCGTTTTTTATTACTAAGAGGTATATTATTATTTATTTATTTATTTACGATCAATTAACTAAACTAAATTTTCAATAATGGGTATGACCCCCTCTTGCTCTAACAATATCTCGATTTGGCATAGATTCGATCAAATTTGATATTGTTTCTTGCGGGATGTTAAGTCACTCTTCCTCTACTGCAACAATGAGCTCTGGGATAGAAGTTGGAGCTCTTCGTCTAGTACGAATTCTTCGTTTTAGCTCATCCTATAAATGTTCTATCGGGTTTAAGTCTGGACTGCATGCTGGCCATTCCGTAACCCAAATTCCGACTTCTGAAATGTAATCGTGTACGATTCTTGATGAGTGTACCCTCGCATTGTCATGCATAAAAGTGAATTCGCTTCCAATGTAGTCGACGTACCACATGAACTGCTAAAATCTCCTCAATATACTTAGCATCAGTTAAACCTCCTCTCCTGTGCCGACGGTCGTCCTAACGGATAAAAACTGGGTCGGTTCGCGCAGTCATAGAAATTGTACCCCAGATCATGCAGAAACCACCTCCATAAGCAATCCGCTCCTCAATGCAGCATTCTGCGAATCGCTAATCTGGCCTCTGGAACACTTTTCTTCTTCGGTCGCTACCATAGAGGCATATCCTGGTCTCATCTGAGAATAAATTTTCTATTGTTCTAGTGGCCAATTCAGATGTTCCGTGCAAAAGGCAGGCGTGTTTGACGATGAGCTGGGGTAAGTTTTGGACCAATTGCGGGTGTTTTGGGGGTCATGTTACTTTCCTTCAATCTTCGTCTTACTGTCCACTGAATAATAGTCACTCCTCGTGTTTCACGGAGCTGTTGTTGCACCTGACGCCGATTTCTTAACATTGTTGACACAATAAAGTGGTCATCAAGATCCGTTGTATATCTCTTTCTACCAGTTCCAAGTCGACTACGAAAGGATCCTCTCAAAAAGGACTCCTCATATCGTTCACACACTCTTCGAACCGCTCCGCGTGTCATATGCAGTTGCCGAGCTACAATTCCCTGTTTAAGTCCATTTTCGATTAAAGCGATTACTTGGGCGGCTTTTTCCGGTAATGTATGCATTAAATTGAAACACTAATCAAACAATGAAATACAACTAATCAAAAATAAAAGAACAATGTGAAAATTTCGATTACTAAGGTAGTAATTGCAATATTTGACAAGTTTGTTATTCTTATTGTCACCACAACACAAATACCTTTTATTTGTTTACGCGTTGGTACGCATATAAACCCTGGATAAATTTATGCTCATATTAAAGCATGTTAAATTGTCTTTGAAACAGCTCATATTTTTTACTTGCTCTGATAAATAGATTCTAAAAGACAGAGTTAAAACCAAAAGTTCACAGTGGGCCGATTTCTATGCACGTAAGTTTAGTACCTTAAAAAGATGGGATGCTCTACTTCCAAACTTTAAATAATTAGATTGTGTTTAATAAATAAGGTCCTGCGGATGGAAGATGATTAATAAATAGGGTGAATAAAACTCACTTTTTAATTTGAGGCAGTGGCCTAGGTTTTTCTATCATAGTTGAGGCATCGAACTGTACTCTGCGACCAATTTTTGACAATTTTAGTAATCTACGCAACCAAACAAAAATGTCACGGATTTAATTGACAATACAAAACACTAGACGCAGTTAAGTGTTAGGACAAACTATTTATTCGATTTACTAACCCTTTATCATCATCTGCATCCACCTCTTCTATATCATCTCCTTCTTCTTTATTTTCTTTAGAAACGCTGTTTTTCAATTTCAACGCACTCCTGCTAGCCATTTTTTTCTATTATTTTGATCAAATTTTTCCGAAAAATAAAAAGATACGAAAACTAGAAGGAATATGACCGACACGATAGAAAAAACTGTTCGTAGTCAACTGAAAAAAAAAACTGTCCTGTATAAAATGGCTCGTGTTTTCCACGACCTTCCCTTGGATTACACCAAATAAGATTAAAACGTTTTAATTCGAGCTAAATCTTGTTAAGGGAGAGACAAATTTTCTTCCTAGTTTCCAGGGCTTCCCCGAAAAGCAACAGTGAAATATAATTGTTAGTTTATACCTTGTACCGTAATTGAGACATTTTAGTTTTTACATGTAAATTCTACCATACGATCGAAAAAAAACGGCGTCAAAGACGGCTCGGGAATGACAATCGATGATAATTTTGGCGAGGTCAAACTCTAGACGTCATTTACTTAGCCCGTAACTTCTTTATTTTTAATCGCGTTTACTACCAGTTGGTCTTAAGAAGGTTGTAATATAGTTTTAAATGGCATCCTCGATTTTTTTACTCTATTCGATAGAAAATGACACTCTGTATATAATGACATACATGTACTTAACAGGAATATTAAAAGAAAGCATTTTTTCTGCTTTCAAAAATATATTACACATGCCCTTTCTTTCCATTAGTTTTACCAAAATTTGATAAAATGTACACCATTGTTTATATTATTATAAATATGCACATACCTTCTAGAATCACGCCATCTATGGCCGATTAGTTTCACTGGCGTCTGCTGATCTTGTACAGGATATATCCTCGGTCTTCCATCTGATTTCTCATCGTTCATTCTGCAAAAAATAAAGAAAAAATCATTTAATACACTTATAGATTCTTACACTGTTATGTTGATTCGGTCATGGTCATGCTGTTTATAAGTTTCAGTTCATTAATGTTTATTTTTATATAGGCGGGCAGGCTCGTTCTTGGGATATCTGGCGCTTACGTGCAGCATTCTTTGGTGCGCCCTTTTTGTATTTAAATCAATTATATATTTTAATCTTAATCTCCAAAATTTAAAGAATTTATATTCTGCGACAAACGGGCAATATGTAATTGGAAATGTAAAAAAAATTCTAATTAAAGTATAAAAATATTTATTAAATAAATAAAACAAACAAATACACAAAAATATTTAGTAACAAAAATAGTACCCTAAAGAAAAAAAATTGACCCATTTTAAATAAAATACATAAAAACAATAAACTAAAAATCGGAAATAATATACATGTACTGATTTCTTTCGAAAATAGACAAATATGAAACTATGATCCCTTCTCCGACACAAAGGGTATATTGTAAGACAGGAAATTGTAGAGAGAAACAAGCCCTATAATATAGGATACAACATTTTAATGAACAGTGCTTTCCATAAAATGAATAAAATGAGAAATATACGAAATACTATACATGTACTGATTTCTTTCGAAAATCGACAACTATGAAACTATGATCCCTTCCCCGACACAAACGGTAACTTGTGAGACAGAAAATTGTAGAGAGAAGCAAGCCCTATAACATAGAATACAACATTTTAATGAACAGTGCTGTCCATATAATGAATAAAATGAAAAATATACGAAATACTATACATGTACTGATTTCTTTCGAAAATCGACAACTATGAAACTATGATTCCTTCCCCGACACAAACGGTACATTGTGAGACAGGAAATGGTAGAGAGAAACAAGCCCTGTAACATAGGATACAAGATTTTAATGAACAGTGCTTTCCATAAAATGAATAAAATGAAAAATAAATAGATGAGATCATTATGTTGCCGACAGATTGCCCTAGACTTGTTTATTCGGTGCGGCCAACGCCAAAAAGACGCTAAGCAAACTTTATCCTATGTTTAAGTATTTGTTGGCAAGAAAGCGTATCGGTTTTTTGTTACAAAGTACTGATTGACCCTTCGATTTTGTGCCCCCAAAATGTTGCGCCTACGTGCGTGCACGCACTGCACGCTCGCCAGGAACGGCCCTGTAGGCGGGTCATCTCACATTTTAGTGACCAGTTCTTCAAATAAAGTCCCATAAGAGATATTTATCCTCACCTCTGCCCTCCATATAATAATCTACCAAAATACCCAAAGCTTGTCTTTAAATCAAGAAACAGGCTGAATGATGAAAGAATGTGCAATCAAAACACGCTTACAATTTGTTTTGATTGCTTTGGTTTCGTTCTTTTGTCTGTTTGATTATTGGGCATTTGAGTACTTTGAATATTTTAATTTTAAAATTGATTGTTTATTATTCTAGTATTTAAGTATCAAATATCAACGAAGTGAAAAATCAAACATCATTTTTAAAACTAAGTTATAATTACATATTACAAATAAATAAACAGTCAAATATTTGTATTTCAAACTCACCCATAATTGCCACATTTTTTTGTAAAAAACATGTAAAATCCGTTCATGGAAAGGAGATCCTAGTTATTCAATTCAAGCGTTCATTTTATGGTCACTTTTTACTTGTCCTTCTTTTAAAGTCACATTTTAAAGCAAATTATGGTGACAACATTAAAAAATCACCAAAATATTTTATTTTTCTTAACTGCATACACAACCATATATTACTTATTTATTTCTAATTTTAAAATAGTTTAAAACATAAACATATAAGATATACCGGCATTTCATATACCGGGTGCGTCTCAAAAGTGGCTCACCCCTAACTTTTTTATTTTTTCAGTTAAAAACAGATTTGGTATGTTAGTATATGACATAAATTAGAATTGATTGACGTATTCAATTGCTTTCGGTCACTTCCTGTTTCACCGGAAATGACTACAACTTTTGATTTTTAAATGGCACCCTCGGTATTTTTTTACTTTATTCAATAGAAAATAACACTCTGAATAGAATGACATATCATATGTCAACTTTTGACATTTCCGCATATGGTGTATTTGAAATTATAACTTGTGGTTCGTAACGAAAATTTGACTCGAAATACCAAGTGTGTGGTATCAAATTATTCGTAAAAAAATACTTTTCCCAAATATGTTAATGAGCCATCCCCGTTCCAATTGAAAAAGTTGAGATATGATTAAAAGTACGATTTGAGCATTTTCTAACTGGCCAGGATAAGACACTAAAAACATTAAACGATCAAATCTATTTTTCCAAGGCTCCTTGATTAAGAAGAAGTGTTTTAACATAGCTATGTCACTCTAGATTTAATTTTAAAATACGATTTTTTATTAAGCGAGAATGATAAAAGTTGACATATTATATGTCATTCTATTCAGAATGTCATTTTCTATCGAATAAAGTAAAAAAATACCGAGGGTGCCATTTAAAAATCAAAAGATGTTGTTTGATTTCCGGTGAAACAGGAAGTGACCAAAATGTCATATACTAACTTACCAAATCTCGTTGTTTTATCTGAGGAAATAAAAATGTTATTGGGGTGAGCCACTTCTGAGACGCACCCGGTATATTTGGCATTTCTGGGCTTTGGTGCCGATTTTTAAATAACCGAGTTATTTTTCTTTAAAACTTGAAAAAATGGCTTAGATTTTGAGAACCACTGGATTTTTTCTACGAATTTTTGGGTCGTACTTGACAATATAGAAAAGTAATTTTAACGCCTAGGCATTTGCTAGGCATAAAAATACGAAAATATATTATTAAACTGACTTAAAGTGTCAAATTCAGCAAACGTAACCAACTTACAAGGTGTTACTTTTAAATATTTTTATATTATTGAGAAAGTTTTAAATTGTTTAAAAAAATTAGAAGTTTTTTTTATCAGAAAATTAAAAAAAGAAATTTAAGCAATTTCAAACGTTCCAAATAATATCAAAAGATTTAAAAGTAATACCTTGTATGTAAGTATATATCAAGAAACTATGGTTACGCTCGTTGAATTTGACACTTCATGTCAGTTTAATAATATATTTTCATATTTTTGTGCTCAGGCGTAAAAGTGCTTTTCCTTTATGCCTAGGCGTCAAAATGACTTTTTTTTATTGTCATCATTGTTTCAGTAACACGTCGCAAAAATTAATACTTTAGTGACGTTTGAAAAAAAAACATTATTATGGAAAGCTGTTCTAATAAAAATATAAGATTATTATTCATAAGCAATATTAATATGTTTATTTACGCTAAATACCCAAAATTTATTATCAAAAAAATATGCAGTGGATTTTTGGCAAGCACGTTACGATTCACGGTCCAGGACATAACATATATGACGGTTCCTAACCTCATTTCTTTTCAAAATAATTACATTTCTTAATGCGTAACACACTAAAATTACAATATACCCCCAAAAAATTATTTTGGAATTTTTGGTTGTAAGTTTTCACTAAAGTTCGATAGTTTTTCCAATGAATGAACGAATGTTTTCATCACCATCACTGAGAACACGCGCCAAATGATCTTTTTACCGGAATTTTTTGTCAGCAACAACAGAAATTTGTTTCTATTGATCCGAATACTACCGACATCGAGATACATCGACAAGTATCGATTCGAGTTATCGGTTTATTCACGTTTATTATTTTCCGCGTATCTTTTATGACATTCCGTCGTACGAGACCCGGTATATTTAGATTCTGGCTGGATGAGTTTGTCTACCGACCGTCTAAAAATAAACAAAAAGCGGGGATCTGATGTACTCGAGAGTGTAATTTGGATTTTCTCCTATTTTCGAACGAAAGTAGCTAAATTAAATGTAAACATCTCAGCGCAACGTATTTTTTAGTGTTCCGTACCTCGAAAGGAAAAAGCGGAACCCTTACGAGTCCATTTTATTAGTCCGAAAAAGTAGCAAAATAAGCGTTCGGCATTTAACGTTTTAGGTAAAACTGGCTAGGTATTTTTACACAAATGAAGAAGGGAGTTAAAGATAAAGAATTATACTATATCCGTATTGTTGAACATTTTTAGACAACTTCTTTATTTTTAAGATTTTGATGGTGAAACACCAACAAAATATTCCTTGTGTTTGGTCTAAATTTTCTCTAAAATAAAGACATAATTTAAAATTTCGTTACAATACGGAAATAGATTGAAGTTTTGTGATTACAGTGATATATAATTTATATGGTTTTGTAACAAATTGCTCGCTATTTTATGGCAAATGCTGAAGCTCTGCAAACTTTAATCAAGCCTTAAGACGGTCCTACACGATGTGGCGAACACCTTCAAACGTTGAACGCGCGGCATTCGCCACATCGTGTGGGAGCGCAGAAATTCATGTGTCGAACGTTCGAAGCAAGTTCGGGCTCTTGTCGGTAAATTTTACTCGAGTCAAAGGACCTTCAAACGTTCGAAGTAATGTTCGCTGCGCTCCTACACGGGAGTCTTCACGTGGCTGATATTTTACTAGGGATCAGTAGCGGCCTCGCTTTTAATGCTAAAACGTAGTCTCTTCAGGCTGAAATTTTTTCGTGATTTGTTCTTTGCCAGAAATATTACATACATAGGTATATAAAAAGATTAATTATTGGTTTTCTTTGTGTTAATAAATATCTGACAGAATTTTTGGTTATTTTATTACTTTTTTTACTTTTGGTATATTACTTTAGTGAAAACACTGAAATTTCCTTTTATTCATTCACTTTTTCTATTCATCAAGATTTTCTTCTTATATTAGATATGTGAATAGGATTTTACTTTTTACTAAAATTACTTTCAAAATATTCCGTTTTTAGTTAAAATGGAGTGGAATAATCAAATGATAATGGAATTTATTTCGATTTACGAGAAATATCCAATTATATGGAATCCCAGGCATACCGAGTATAAAAACCGGAATACCTTAATTGATGCTTGGCGTGACATTTCTCAGGAAATGAGTATAGACTTGTCAGTAGCAGAACTGAAGAAAAAAATAAGAATCTGTAATGGCAACGTATAGAACGTTGAGGAGGAAAGTTATAAAGTTATAGATTCTTATACAACCGGATCTGGGAGTGCAGATATATACAAACCATCTAGGTTTGCTTATGATGCTATAGACATATTCATAAGATCCTGATACGTCTTCTTTAGTTCTTTTGCTTCTTAACAGTTTGGCGCAATTTAAAACTATCATACCAGCGGCAATCCCAGCACTTAATATATTATCCATATCTGCTCAAGCCAAGAGTACGTACGACACTGAGTTAATTTCACAAATGTAGCGCCAGGTTTGCGTCCAACGTTGGAACGAACGTTCGAAGCATCGTTTAGGAGACACATTCGCCAATTGTAATATTGTCGAAAACTGTGTCAAATGTTGGTTCGAACGTTCGTTCGAACGTTGGACGCATCGTGTAGGACCGTCTTTAACCAAAGCACGTCTGTTTGGAATCTTGGGTGTGGCTTAACACGACAGGATCGGGCTAAACCTTAGGCAGATTTCTAAAATATAATATATGAGACTATGTACTGAGAGCGACCCGAAAGTATAGCGTAATAGACTCTTGAGATACGGCCGTTTATGCCGCAAAAAGCGTATTTGGACACTCTCAAGTGAAGGACACTCTCTAACTAAACATTTGTAATTAAATCATAAAAAATATAAACTTTATTTTAAGTAACAGAAAAAGTTAAGTTAGACAGTAAGCTAAAAAAAAAGTTAAGAATTTTTTTTTGTTTAGTTTTTTTTTGCTTAGTTTATAATTTTTTTAACTTAGAAATAAGCTCTCGACTAGTTGCTACACAAGATAGCCAGACAGTTCTGTTCCTTTTATTGGTAAAACTTAATGCTTTGTTTCAATCAGTTCGCGGTTAAAGTTAACAGTGAAACGATTTGCACAACAAAGTGGAGAAATACAATACATCGTGCCGTCAAGTCACTCACTCGTAATTTAAGGTTCGCATTCATTTAAAGTTAAGAAGGAAATTCTTGGGAATGGCAAAAAGACAGAATGCGTTTGGTGTAATCGAACGGTTTAGAGGAATTTTTCAAATTTAGTTGTTTGAGTAATAATATACAATGAAAATGAACACTCATCTGACTACTCTAGTAATTTCATTACATCATTAATGTCACATATAATAAATGTAGAAGAGAACAGTTTCATCGAGATTCCCTGCTACAATGTTTTTCTGTCCCAGCCACTGAAGGTATTTTTTATATTCCTTATAGGTAAATGGAATCACTGTTAGACAGGGTTGGCCGATATATATATATATCAAGTGATATATATAATGATATATATCACAATGTATATCTGATATTTATTGATTGATATATATCATGATATATATTATTACAGATTCTTAGTACCAAATTTAACATATTTCCAAAACCAACAGGCTTTCGATCTTCTAAATTCAATAAACCCAGAATTTCTTGTAAAAAAACCCAGTTCCGCTTGTAATGGCTCTTACTAGAAAGTCTTGTTCATTTCCAAAGTATTTATTTTTCTCACAATTCTAAACCACAAATCCAATGATTTGGTGGAAATCGGTTGTAATTCATGACTCTGAGTGGCCAAAAAAAGAGTTATTCTTACAACTATATGAGCAGTTATTCAGTGCAGTAGCGGCAACAGCTGATTTAGAAAAAAACGAGTTTTGGAATAATTCAATCTAAATTAACAAATCGTCTAGGCAACGAAAAAGCTAGTACAATGGTATTTATTTTTAAATGTTTAAATCAAAATACCGATAAAAAAGCCAAAAGCTTGGAAGGGACCTGGTCTATATGAACTAGTTGCCTTAAGTGAAGATAATAGTGACAAGATGATATTCCGATTTTTAGTTACTTAAAAATTTATCAAGCTATTATTTTTTTATTATAAATTTTAGGAAAAATGTTATTTTTTGTCTCGTTTTCTGTGATTTGAAACTTTTGTTTGAAGTTTGATTTTTGTTTTTACCAAAATAAAGATATTTTTTATTTTAGTTTTTTTTGACAGAAAACAGCACTCGATTGACAGCAACTGTCAATTTATAAATAGGTCATTGAATACAATAGTAACCTGGCAACAAACAAAGTTCCTACCAGCAGCGCTAATACGAATATACCAAAAGATTAATAAATCATCATTTGTGTCGTTTTAAAATGGGACAAAATATACTAAACTCAGTAAGAAATAAAATTATCTATATACCACGTACCACGGGAATTATAAAGTGTTAACAACCTCGACAGCTATTGTCAAAAACTTTGCCCTCGGTGACTAACGCCTTTATAATTCCCTTGATAGATAAATAACTGTTTAATTTTGTGCTCATAGATGGTCCAGTCTTTTAAAATTTGATTAACCGGAATGAAAAAATGAAAAAAAGAGAAAAAAATTAAGTTAGGCCCCGGCGAGATTCGAACTCACGATCTCCTGTTTACTAGACAGGCGCTTTAACCAACTAAGCCACGGCGCCACTGAGCCCATTCCTGAAGCTGTCAATATTAAAACACAGAATTATGTAAACAAATATATTTTTAGTTAATACAATACTTACAATAATTACATTATAAAAATAAATAAATACACATTATCCGTGAAATAATCACTAATAGTAAGTTAGGAGTTAAAAATTGATTGTTATTGGAGTAAAAAATTGGAGCCCGGGGGTGCCGGGCTCCCCCCTCCCCCAGGTACTGCTGGGCACCCCCAGAGAAATCCTGAATTATGACTCTTAGAATTTTTTTTTATGACTCTTGGGTACGTATTAATTTTTATTTGCTTGTGATGCAGTAAAATGACGTTTTTTAGTTTTGTTTCGTTAATATTATTTTGTTGTGTTCAAAAAATCTGTTACTTTTAATTTTTTTAGAAAACTTGTAGGTATTTAAGCAATCTACGGAAACATGGTTTGATAACCAAGTCTATGAAATTTATTGATAGGGAAATTCATGTAAACGTTTTATTCAAAAAAAGTGTTTTTTTAAATTATTTTTCATTTTTAAAAAAACAAAAGCCCTAGGCCCCCCAGGCTCAACCCCTGCCCCCCTCCAGGCCCACCTCAGGAAATTGCTAATTAGGCTAATGTATAACGCCGGCTTTTTTAAAACAAAGAAGGAATTTTTACAAAAGCTTATCTACATATTTTCAGTCACTTTCCAAAAAGCCTAAGCAGAATTAGGCATATATTAAACAATTACGATATTTTCTGTACACTTCTGCAAAATCTACAGTCGTTTTACAAAATGCCAAATCGAGGCCAGGCAGAATAAAACATGATCAAAATTTACTCAACTATGAGCATCAGCACATTGAATAATTTACGCTTTAATAAAAATACCCCATATTTTGCTATACAAAAAAATAATTTATGTCAATATTTTATATTGTTTAGACGAAAACAACTTGAACCCTATTTCATAAATTATAATAATTATAAGTAAGATAATTTTAAATACAAAATATATTAAAAACTTAATAGTAATATTTCGTTTAATTATTATACTCTGTAATTTAATTTTGTGTACAGGGCTGCCTCTTTGTAGAACTTTGCTTTCTTTTTTTTTGGAACTCTTATGCTTTGAATGAATTTAGATCTTTATAATAATCGTCCTTAACCATACCCCATTTAACAGAATTTTCACTTTTTGTGCCATTACTTTCTAATCTTGAAACAGAAGTTCAAGAAATGTCGTTGGATAAATTTAGGTTACTTTTGACTAATCCCGGGCAAAATTTGTTGTGCAATCTGACTAGTCTTTATTACGCGTTTTGCAAAGCGACTGAAAACAGATAGGCTATTTGCGAAATATCCTCCTATTGTTTAAAACGCCGACGTTTAATAAAATGCCTTAGTCTCATTCTCTTGGCAGATGCTTAAAGTCTTTACTAGCCATGTAAACATATTACTGATATATGGCCACTCTTAATGATTCCTATCCCTTCTAACCTTGTTATCCAACTTTTTCACACCACTATAATGATCATATATCTCCCCAAAACTCTTTCCTTCAGTTTCCGGAAGAAAGAAATACAACAGAATAATTCCCACGGCTGTCACAGCAGAATAAAACCAAAATACACCACCCAGTGTTATCCACGACACCATATTCAAGAAGGTTTTGTTCGCTAGAAACCCTATCAGATACCCTACAGCGGCAGAAACTCCAGTAGCCACATCCCTGACTTCGTGGTAGTATATTTCACCCATAATAACCCATGGCAGGGCAAAACTTAATAGGTAACTGAAGAAGCCCATTAGGACAAGGAAAACTAAGGGTATCCACGTTGTCGTTTCATCTAGTAATGATGTATCATCAGTGAAGTATTGTACTCCAACACTCCAAGTATATATACCCACTATCAAGAAACAAATAGAGATGCCTAACAAAGAAATAAAAGAAAGCAGTCTTTTTCCAGTGATTGATAATATCATTAAACATAGTAACGATCCAGACATGTTACAGGTTCCGGTGATGATAGTAGCATAGTAGGAGTTGATCGGTACTCGCAGCAAACTGAATATTTTAATTGCGTAAGTTGTATAAGGAGTCACGTTAAAGTGACTGAGTATAAAAGTGAGTATTACCAGCAAAAAGGGTTTGATGAAATTTGATTTGAAGTACAACTTTGCGGTCGCTTTGTTAAAAAGTGATTTTCTCTTCTTGGTTGTGCGGTTTTCTTCGACATTGTGTTGTATCTCGCCGAATTCTTTTTCTATGTTGTGTACTGTTGTCCATCCTAAAAATACATTATTGGATCAACACAGAGTGTTCTCATGTAGAGATTGTTGTTTGTTTTGTAGCTAACCTCCTGTGTTAAACTCTTTATTTTTTTTCGGGTTATTACAATTTTCTTCCAAGTTCTTTTAGTGATTCGAATGAAATTTTGAAGGTAAAAGCTACTAAAAGAACGACACATTTTAATGTTAAAAAAGTGTCGACAGATTTACAAGAGAATCATAAATATGGGTTATCACTGGAATAATTAAAAAAAAACATGTGCGCCACTGATTTTTTTTTCTTTGATTAGAAAAGTTGTGTAGTCCGTTGGAAGTCCCACTTTTGTGTATTTCGGTCTCCTTGATGAGACAAACGCAATTTTATTAATTTACCTTAATCCAAGTCCAATAGCAACCTTTAAAAAATGTCAGTGCCATTAACTGGGCAAACTTTTAAATAAGTACTCTTTGATTCCTCATCAAAAAATATGAAAAAAAGTTCCTATAAACATAGGACCTGAAATGCATAGTTTTAAGTAGGTACCAGAATGTTAGGGCTTTAAAAATAAGTCTTCTGTGATTATTTCAATACCATTTTTTCAATTTGCTGTAGGTAGCACTGAAAAACAGTGTTATATTTTTTTTTAATTTAATAATAAATTAGATTAAATAAATAATTTATTAATTATATTTTATTTTTATTTTATTAATTGTTGTTAATAAAATTGGGTATATCTCAACAAGAAGATCGAAATCGACATAATGTCAAGAGAACATTTTTAATCGGCATTAAACGGCTTACACAAGAGAAAAACGTCAATGGCGCACAAGTCTTTTTTTATAAAAGTATTCTAGTTATAACCCATATGCAGGTTCCTGAAGAATTTGCAGACACCATTTTCTCAATAAAATATGTAGCACTTATAGTAACTATTACCCTCAAAAATGCATTCGAATCACTAAAAGCGCTTTGAAGAAAATTATAATAAATCGAGAAAAAGACATGTACATTTAACATTTACCTCTCAGCCAAGCCAAACTCCTTTTAGCATCATCAACGCGATTTTTGTCCAGCAACCAATAAGGTGATTCTGGCAGTAAAGCCAAGAATACAACTCCCACTAATGGTATAATAGCATTAACTAATGCTACAGTTCTCCAGCTATTAAAAGCGGCCAAAATAAACGTAAAGAGTATTCCTAAAAGAGATGAAGAGAGTGGAGGTTGAGTTCAAAGCTCCTCTTTAGAGTAGGTTCTGTGATTTCTGTTGTGTAGCTAAGTGCCTAATAAGTAACAAAAATACCAAAACATTTCATGGTTTGTTAAAATAAGTTTAAAATATCGAAACAAACAAAGCTACATTGACCACACTTAACAATTTTACCCTCGAAGCAATGGCGGCAACCCAACAAGTGCACATTTATAGGATGTCCCATTTTAGTTGACATACGGCATCTCCGTTATTAGTGAAACCTGCCCCACTTTTTTGTCAAACGAAAGATGCTGTTTTTTTTAACAAAAATTGTTATAAACCTCGTTTGACCATGTAGATGCTGAGATTGCAATTTGGGACACCCCCCGTATCTCTGCAATTATTGACATTATTGTGAAAAGTATCGAGAAGGTGAAAACTGTTTCTTATAGAACTTTTTACGTAGAATACAATGGCGTACATAGTCTGTTATTGTAGGAAAAGAATATTTTTGAAGATATGAACTAATAGGCTATTTTTTTCAAACATCACAAATAATTTTTTAGATCATTGCAAACGTTGCAAATAATATAAAAATATTTAAAGTAATACCACAAATTACCTATAACAGATGCGAAAGAACACCGAATTACGCGTTCAGGTTTCTGTGACCTTCAGCAAGAGTTCATAGACAATCCGCATCAATGTATAGTGTGGGTTGTTATTTGTTTGGGTGAAAATAATCTGCACCAATATATTATCGAGGCATACACAGACTTCGAGACATACGAAAAATCAAGTCCATTTAGCGTGTGCCGCAATTTTCACACCTTAAAAAATTAGTTTTTTATACCTATAGCAACTGCAGCGACTATGAAAAAAGCTGTGTGATTTTCATAGAAAATAAGGGCACCTGTAATTTATTTGAAAATGTTATAAATCGCTAAAAGAGGTTTAAAATCTCTTGGATTTCTATTAATATTAAATAAATTTTATTAAAAATTGAACTAAAATTGTTAATATCATTAAAAACAATTCAAATTCAAAAATTGTATCAGTCAAATTCCCTCATTTAAGGTGAATATTAAAGTAAATATAAATACAGCCCATTCTAAGCTCTACTTATCTTTAAGAAAAATTTAAATCATTGTTGCAATTGGGCCTTAATGCCATTTCGAATGAACAATAGTATTAATAATGTACATTATAATAATAATAAATTTTATATCATAGTGTGTATTAAAACTACCAAAACACTTTTAAATTGATATTATATTAACAACTTTTGTTTTTTAATCCAAAAAAAAGTTACCAATTTTCTCAATCAGAATATTTGCGGTCCTGAAAAGGACCTCCGTTTTCCCATGTCCGTCAAGGTAGGTAATGGGTAAACGGTAAAAAAACAGGATAATGAAATTTAAAAAATTACAAAAATTGTTCAAAAGTGCCTCCCTCTTGCATTAAACAATAACCCAAATGATCATAAAATCCCCTCCACACATTGGATAACATATCAGGGGTGACAGTGTCAAAGGCATTAAATATTTTCTGTCTTAACTGCTCCAAGTTTTTAATTTCTTCATGGCCGTAAATTTTAGATTGTATGTACTCCCATAAAATCATTCACCGAGAAGTCAGGCGAAATTAAATGTCAGTCTAAACAAAACTGTAATTTTTGAAAACTTGTCAAAATTTGGACACACGCTAACTGGACTTGATTTTCCTATGTCTCGAAGTCTGTGGACTTTTCTGTATAATCTCACAGTAATTTAATAGATTGCTCGTCATATTATATCAGCTCGTAGGAGATTAGGAAAAAAAAAGATATTTATAGTTTAAAAAATAATTTATTTAACAAAATTTAATTAAAGACGTGACAAAATAGTTACATTTCTATTGGTTCTATCGGACTTTTTTCGACTGTATAAATCTTTATTTTTTGTACTAACTTTAATGCATAAAATATTTTCAATCTAATAAATAATTTAATGATGTAAATAAGAGGAAATTTCTCACATGGGTGGTCAAATTCTATAGTTTTCATTATATCAAACAGCCTCTGAATGTTTTATTCAGTGCAAAACTCATCAAAATTTAATATAAATAATTTTTCCAGCCCGTCAAAAAAAAATGAACAAATTTTTCCACTTTCATGATCAAAGGCTTTTAAATGGGTAAATAATTTCGAGTTATCCAGAGATTCGGATTCTTTTGCAAATTTTAGACAAATATCACATTGATGTATTTGAAGACCCTTTTTAATGATGTAGTCAAACATAATTAAAGGCATTTTGAGTTGAAATCTTTTCTCAGAGGCTGTTTGATATATGAAAACTATAAAATTTAACCACCCATGTGAGAAATTTCCTCTTATTTATATCATTAAATGATTTATAAGATTGAAAATATTTGATGTATTAAAGTTTACAAATAAAGATTTATATGGTCGAAAAAAGTCCGATAGAACCAATAGAAAGGTAACTATTTTGTCACATTTTTAATTAAATTTTGTTAAATAAATTAATTTTTTATACTATAAATATCTTTTTTTTTCTTATAGATAAACACATTTGCATCCCATTTTAAATAAGATATACAAATTACCAAAACTTAGAAATAACAGTTCAAAAGTTCAACAAAAATCCTACACGAGTTTTTAAAAAGAAACATATAACCACGGACTATGTCATTCCAGCAAGCGAATACGGCACAGCATAGGTTTCCGGACTAAACGACTGGTGTATTTACACCACTCAATAGGCCTGTCCGGGTTTGCCGGGCGGTTTCCGATGCAGTCGCTTTCTTTCGCATCTGTTATAGGTAATTTGTGGTAATACCTTGTAAGTAATTATACAGGGTGTTAAAAAATAGTGTATCTTTGTGTTTATCACTTTGGTGGTCAATTTTACAGATAAAAATAAAACAAAAAGTTCTTATGAACATACGCCCTAAAATGCTTTCCTTGAAGAAGTTACAGCCCTCAAAAGGCAAAAGGGTAAATAAAAATAATATATTTTGTTATTTCTAAGAACACTGGTTGCAGGCGTAAACATAGAAAAATTACTTGTAAATGAGGCCGTAGGCCGAGAGGGCTAATTTTCTCAAGTGACTTTTATGTTATAACACGCGGGTGCCATACAAAATTTTATCCAACAGCAGAACTGTTTCATGTCCAATCTCTAAAGAATAATTGATTTAAAAGATATACCAGTTCTACTTTCATTGTTGCGAATTAATAAATTATCAGGGTGCGTTTATGTTACTGTGCAATATATGTAGATGTGCGTTTTGTTTTTTTGTAAATAATAAATAGCACTGACATTAAGATGTCATTTAGATAAATCAATGGCAAATGCAGGAGTGAAATGACAACGTTAAAAAGACACGGAGGATGGCGATCTGCAACGGTTGCGGAAGGATATATCGAAGAGTCCATCAACAATAAAATAGAGATTGCGAAAAAGATGCTGTAAGTCTTCAAGAACGAGCCGTTGTAATTTCAAGTAGTGGAGGGACAGCATCTGGAGTAGGGGATTCAATCCCGGACAATTTTATGTTGTCGGGATCCCGGGATTCTTAACCCCGAATCTCGGGATTTCAGTAATAATGTTACCGATGTTACTTTAAAAGAACATTTTATTAAAATTAACGTTAATTAGTTAAAGCAAAAACAAAGTCTTTGGAACATAAAAATAAGTAAATATTCTTCTTAAACAACATTAAAATTAAAAATCTCAAACAAAACAAAAAAGAAACTGGACTGATAATATTATTCCATATTTTTAAAAGAATAGCGCAAAAATATAATATTGTCTATTGTGTCATCTCCCATAGCAGAACAAAATTTTGTAACTATCAAGCCTGCTGACGAATAACAGCTTTCCGATTCTACACTTGTAGACGGTATTGTACTTAAAAAATCAAAAGCTAGTTGTAAGTTTGTTCCACGTTGTCCACTCTTCTGGAACGTATCCATTTCATTTTTTATTTGGGCTTCCAAGTTTTCTGGTGGCACTGTCATTCGATTTGACATTTTTTTGGTTAACGCTTCATCTAGCCTCTCCGAAAATAAACCGTCGTCATTTAAGGCCTGGTACCTGTTCTGAATAGTAGCAATTGGCAAATCTTCATCCGATTCCGAACTATCTGAAGAACCTAATATGATTTTATTTGTTATATCTAGTCGTTTTAAGAGATTTGCTACTTCTTGTTTCAAAAGATTTTTTATTATTCCGGGAATCACCGACGTATCACTTGTCGGCGGCGAAAGCCGCGTATAAATATGCCGAGGCAAGTACGAGACAAACCCGAAACGAGTATGAAACGAGGCTATAGCAAATTCTTTCCAAAAGGCGTACTAATATGCCGAGACGAGGACGAGGCGAGTCAACCTCAAGCGGAATTCGTCATATTATAGCCTCGAGCCGAGCGATTTAGCCTCCAGCAGAGTCCCTGCCCAGTCGAACGGCGTTGTCTCGCGGCTATCCATTTTCAGTGGAGCCTTTGGCGAACCCACAAAATTCTTCATAGGGCTATGCGATACTGAGGCAGTATCGATATTTTGGTATCGGTTGTATTGAATATAAAGTATCGATACTTTAAAATATTGATAAATATATTAAAGTATTATTCGATACCATTCAATATTTTAAAAAATTAATTAATAAATTTAAGTATACTGTGTTTTTAATTGGATTAGGATCGAAAAAAATCAACAGAAGTCCTTTGTTTTAAATTTGTCGACGTTTCGCAAAATTTATTTGCATCTTCAGGACACTACAAAGTTAAGAGAGCAAAATACAATCAAAAATTTTAAAAATTTAACAAACAACTTAAAAACACATATCAGTGGAATTCCACACATACACAATTGGTAAAACTACCCTAATGTTAACAATTAAATAAAATATATGCATATGTTATAAATTTAAGATTGCTTGTAAATAAAAATAATAAGGGATAAGGCCAGGATATAATCAGGATATTTTCTTATTCGCATTGAACAAAAAAAATCGAGGATGGTGGCACTGTCATCAAACGATCTCAAATTACTAAAAGCACTTGGAAGAAAATTATAATAAATGCATGGAAAAAAACTAACACTTAACCTAGGGTTGGCAACTTTGAAAATAAAAAATAGGGGCGAGAGGATAAAAAGAGGCACAGGCGAAACATTTTTGAAACGTCGCTCAAATGTCGAGAATTTACCAAAAAGTTATATAAACGGTATGCGATAAATATTTAAAATAAACAAAAATATTTATACTCAAAACTTATTAAAATAAAGCAAACCATTGTCAACAAAACTTTTTTCAAGACATAAACTAAGAGTAAGTAAACATAAAATTACATAAAAGACACAGATTAACAATTCTTTAAAGCATTGAGGCGATAAACGAATATTTTTTAGATTTTGAAGTTGGTATGTAACAAAGTTTTCAATACGTGAGAGAAAAGAGGACAATCAGATCAAAAAGAGGACTGTTTCTGGAATAGAGGACGGTTGGGAACCCTATTTTAACCCCCTGTAGCTACGAATTAAAGCAGAATTGGATTGGTTGATATAAAAAATAAATCTTATTTTTACGTGAGGAACTTCCCCACGAGAGATGGAACATGTTTTTTGAAACACCCTGTATATGTTTGTTTAATTTCAAAATAGGTAAAAAAACAAGCTAGATAAATTAAAGGAATTCATGATAAATTTAAATTATATTGGGACTGTTTACATTAAAAAAAAACTGGAGAACGCCGACTGAGATACCTGGAGATAACGGCACGGCAGCGGCGGCGGCGCACAGTGGAACGAGCTTATGGGAGCGGTTGGACATGAGGTTTTCTTCTCAACACTTTTAATCCAAAAGACGAAAAAATTATTTTTATATATCGTAATAATGTATAAACAGAACAATTTTAAATTTTAATGAAAGAAAGTGGTTGGCTCATTACAAACCATCTACAGGGTGACCTAAAAATATAGTATGTTTTGGAAAAATCTTACAATTTTTAAATGCTTATAAACTTTGCCAAACTGTCGTGGAATGTTTTAGTTTTGATCCTTTAAAAGAAATAGCTTTAGATTTTACCACTGAAATCTAAGACTACTGATACCGTGTTATAAAAATATGGTAATTAAGGGCTTACATATATTTTCCTATTTAATATAATTTTGCTAATATCTTCGATTTGAAAGAAGATATCAAGATGCGGTTTTCACTGACTTTTTAAGCTTTCATTACTCTTTACTATCAGCTAAAATTACATATACCATCGCATTTAATTTTTTTTGAAAAAACGCGCAATGTTTGTTAATTTGTAAGACAGCGCCCCCTAGCATCTACGTTCAAAAGCTTACTATTATTGTTTATATGGTATAATATAGAGTAAGAAACGGTCTTTTAAACGAGCCCCCGTTAGTTGGATTCCGTCCATCCAGTCCGGAATTATTAATATTTAAATAAAACAGATCTAACCTTCCCCACCACTTTATTTTGGCAGATAGGGGAAAATGGTTCTAACAAAAAATATTCAAAATTTACTGAAGATTATGAAGCTATTATTTATAGTATCCCTTATCTAGGCAAAGTTGTGTAAAAACCCCATTTTTTAATTTTTTTATAGCAGTTGCGCCCTCTAGCGGGCATTCTACAAATTTGAAAATAATTTCCAGCATTTTCTCATGGTCTCTTTAGTTATGAATATTTTTTTCCGCAAGCCTCACGGCTAATACTTTCCGAGATATAGCCGAGAGCTATTCTTAGTGGGACACCCTGTACAATAACTTTATTATATAACGATATAAAGAATATAACAGTAAATCAACGCACTAGAATATTTTTATTACAAACAAAAAACCTCAACACTGCACTTTAACCCTCTTTCTTTTTCCAATAGTTTATAAGTTTTCCATATATTTGTAGCACCCTGTATCTGTTTTTGATTTTAGCGTCATTTTGTATTTATCCAATTAATAATTAAATATTAATAAATTTATAAAAAAATAAAGATAATTTGACTCTAAAAATTTTAAATTAATTTATTGGAATTGAAAAGGTTTTTGATTTTAGTATAGCATGTATTAGTAATATATTAAATGGAAATTTTTAGAGGGGGGCAAGCTGGGGCAAGATGTTAAATTAGTTTCGTTATTAGAAAGGCTTAATCTACCTTGTGATATATATAAAGTCTTGGCCAACTTTGGCCATTTTTTTATTTTTCTACATACACATTTTTTTGCTACTAAATATAGTATTTAGCAGCAAAAAAATGTTTATGTGTCTCTTATATACAATTGTTCTCCCAAACTTTTGTGACTATATATATCTTTTATTTTAAAGTGAAAACAATCGTTTGCACTAATATGTATAGTTAAAAAAAATTATTAATGTCTTTGCCAGTTTTTATAAAACTAGGTTGTTTCACAAGAAATGAATACCATAATTAAGTCAGTGTAATATCTTCATTTGAAACTTTTCAAACAGACATATAATTAAAAATATTTTTTTGAGTTGGATAAAATATAACGGTCTGGACTTTAAGTAATTCAAATCTTCTACCAAAATTATTTAATTTAAAATTTTATTTTTAAGTCAATGTCCAACATTTTATATTGGGTCTTTCCACCGTGCGGCGGAGCCTTCTGCAAGTGCCGTTTTTTTGAATCTTTAATTATTTTATTCAATAATATATTTTGTATGTGGTTTGTATATCTATAAAATTTTTAAATAGAGTAACAGCGCTTTCAGATGGAGCGGACCGTACGCGGAGAGCGTCCGCACGGATGTTTTTTCAAGATAGCTCATCCGGACGGAGCATACGCGACCCAGGTGAAATTGTTCATATAAGCTCATGGTACTTGCTCGAAGTCGCGGACGGTCCGTCGCGGACGCTCCGTTCCATCTGAAAGCGCTGTAAGATAAGACCTAATTCGACTTTATTTATTTAAAAAATTAGAAATTTAAGTAATTAAGATTTAAATTATTAATTTAAAAAAATCTACATTTAAATGCCAATAACTAACCTGGAACATATATTGTAAATAATATATATTTCTAAAGTTGTATATTTTTTCAAGGTATTCAATTCGCCACATTATTATTCTATGGCTTTCCATCATTGCAGCACGCTTATTAATAATTTTTAAAATATTATTATGTATATAATTTTAAAGCCAATTCCCAGTTTTTTAAACCTTCGCCGTAATGTGCTTTCTGAACAGGGTTTTTTTTAAGCTCGGAGAGTTTTTTTTTAATTATTTCTATGGCGCGAACTTTATTATTTTCATATTTGCCATAAATTAAGTTTCTTAGTAGTCTGGATAGTTCAAATTTCTGGATTTTTCTATATCGGATCGTTCCTTTCTTTGTCGATTCCCTTTATTTATGAGAGTACCGTAAGGAACTTCTGAGAGCATGGCCACCTTTTTCAACAGACTCGATTTGCCTCTCTTATCTTCTATGTATCCTATATGTAAAGAAGCTTGTTTTACATCTTTAATTCCGTTCAGCAGAAATAGCGCATAATTTACGTTTGAGCCGTTAATAACTCGACGAAAAGTTCATTACGTTTATTCATTTTTCATAAAATGTTCATGTTTTTATAAAGGAAATCACTAATAAATCTTTGTATATGAGATTTACCTACTTTGGCGAACATACCTATACTATTTTAGAGAAGACAAAATTGCATCTTTCTAGTTAGGATGCATTATTAACATTATTACAAATAAAGGAAAGAATATTTATTTTTATATAAAAATGGGATGTGGAAAGTGGAATCCGTGCCCCTTGAGACTCGAAGCAATTGTTCCGCGGAGCCGCGGTGTATACGCCACTGGTTAAATAGACGCCCCAATCCTTTTGATGGTTCGCCAAAGGCTCCGGAAAAAACGGAGACAACGCCGTCCGGCTGGGCATAGGCTCGGTTCGAAGCTCAGACCCCGTCCCAATATGACGAGTCAACCTCAAATCCGCTTGAGGTTGACTCGTCTCGGGTGTCTCTCGCACTCGTCTCGACATATTTATACGCAGCTTTAAGGAATTCAACTAAAAGAGTTTTTGCATATACAACCTTAAAAATAGCGTTTTACTACATTATATAAAATCCCGGGATCTGTTATTATTTTCCCGGGATCCCGGGATTGAAAAAATCCGATAAAAAACGTCGGGATCCCGGAATCCCGGGATTGAATCCCCTAATCTGGAGGCATACAAGGTTTTACAATTTCTGAATCTACAATAAAAAATCATTTTCATTTAATGTTAATGTTAATTGAAATAAATAATTGAATTAGTAATTTATGAATAAAGCTTGATAATTTCTATAAAATGGTATGGCTTTGAAATTCAAAAACTCACGCGTGTGTTATTATTTATTTTATATGCATGTATACATGTGAGTAATGTCTGTATAAGTAGTGGCTGTTGCATAAATTAATAATTTTGTGACGTTTGAAAAAAAGTAATTTTTCAAGACATGGTCGCGTGACAATTTGTTTTCTTTTACTTGTCCCCTTCAATACTTTGAACCATACACCGCCACTGTCTCAAAGTTACATTTAGCCATAAAAGGACGAAACAAAAATACCATCAAATACTTTAGCCTACACAACCCTCACTTACCGGAGACTCACTCAATCCTCCCGATATTCCCGTGACGCTCAAAGCGAGGAACAATTGCCAGGGCTGTGTCGCAAAATAGAGCAGGAGGAAGGCGCCAAAAAACGGTAAACTGTTGATTTGCAAGAACCGTTTCCTTCCCATGGGGGAGCTAACGAAGCCCGATAATAAGCAACCGATAGGAACGCACAAATGGTTGACGGAAGCTAGCATTAAAAAAGAATGAAAGTGACCTTTTTACTTTTAAACAAAACATGTCTTTTTATTAGAGATGGGACAACTAGAGTAAAAATTCGCTCGAATACTCGATTATTGAAATAACCGACATCGCTCGATTATGAACGATTATGAATGATGCAAGTGATGAGTAACGAGCGACGAACGTAAACGACCCTAGAATGAAATAAATTGAAATCCAATTTTAATGTGACATACTCGATAAAAAGCCGAGCGAATTTTCTACATACATTGCAAATAGCAAATGTATACGAAGTTATCCGTTGACATTGGTTGATCCGTTGACAATGCTTTGAAATAAACTAAATCAAGCGATCAAGCGAATCGCTCATTGCTTGCTATTTGACATTCATCACCGAAAGAATATTTGCTCTGCGCACGCAACTAACTGCTTGGCGTTACGAGTACAACAAGCGACGGGCGAAAACCCGTATTTTCAAATACGAGCGATATTTCGCTCGAGCGATCGCTCGATTATTGAAATCGCTTAAAACTCGAGTACTCAATTATTGAAATTAATCCCAGAGTTTTTCCCATCACTACTTTTTATGATATAAATCAGTTTTTATTATACAGCGTATTTCAAAAAACATGTGCCATCTCTCGTGGAGAGATTCCCCTCATAAAAATTAGATTTATTTTTCATTTAAGAATAGGTGTCCCATTCTGCTTTGTTTCGTAGCTACAGGGGGTGAAAATCTTTAGATTTTTTTTTCAATTTATTGTAATTTTCTTCCAATTGCTTTTAGCAATTCAAATGAAATTTTGTGAGTAAAAGTTATTATAAGTGCTACATATTTTAATCATAAGAAAATGTCGACATGTTCACCAGAGACGTTCATATGGGTTATCATTAGTATTATTTATTAATAGCAACCTTTTAAAAATGTCATTAACTGGTCAAAGTTAAATAAGTACTCATTGATTTCTCATCAAAAAGTATGAAAAGACTTCCTATAATAGTTTTAAAATTACAGAATGTTAAAATTTAAAAAAAAATAGATCTTTTATAATTATTTTAAATACCATTATTTTTTATTAATTTGCTGTAGGTAGCACTGAATATCTGTGTTGTAAATTTTAATAAAATTTAATCGCCCTGTAGTTACGAAACAAAGCAAAATCGGACCTATGTTGACGAGAAATGGCACATGTTTTTTTGAACACCCTGTATAAACCGAGGGGTGTCTCAATGAGTAAAAAATGCACATGTACTGCCAAAATATAAATTTAATGCCAAGCGGCTGCCAATGACTGCGAGGAAAGCTGCCTATATCTGCCATATACATATGTAATTATAGTCGACTGATGCCAATGACTGCCAGCGTCTGCCAAGAAAATGTACATGTTATTCCATCAGTGAAACACCTCTCGATATAATCTTTACCAATCCAAGAAATTGCTTCATCGCTTAAAATAATGACCTCATCACCATCCTCATCGTTTCCACCTAACATTGGTATTAAAATTGTGGGCATTGCCATCGCCAGACCAAAAATAAATAAGTTAAAGTTTTTAATAAGCACTGCCAGAAGTTGAGGAAGGTATCTTCTAAAATTCGATGGGTCATCTTTCGAACTAAAACATTTTTTTATTTTTTATTCAGAACTATCACTATCACTAATGAAAAAGTCACGTACTCTGATAAAGATATACGAGCTTACTTACCCAAATCTAATAAACATTTTTAAATAACTATATCAAATATCTCAACAAAACCTTTATAATACTGTCAATTTGAAAATCGAAAGAAACTAAATGGATTTAAGATTTCTTTATATATACACTGATGTGCTTAGTTATTGTTTAATCTAAATAAATAAAAATATAAGCCCATAAATCGTTTTATCTTGTATTATAGTGTCTGTAAACTCGCATTTTTTTTCTAAAATGAAGGTTTCTCGTAAGAATATTTGCACTAACACGATGTCTGTGGAATACTTGGTTAAAGTTAACTAACAATATTTAAAATACAGGGACGCGAGAAAATTATTTTTTAAAAGATTAGCTTTTATAACCAGGAAATACCGTAAAAAATAGAGTGGATACGACAAAAGACCCAGGTAAATCATCCAGTCATCCACAGAATCAAATCCCTCAAGTGCCAATGGGCAGGACATCTGGCAAGAAAGACGCACAACAGATGGACCACAAAAACTACAGCATGGTACCCACGAGGAATTAATAGACCTAGAAGAAGACCAACCCTGAGATGGAACCATGATATTAGGAAATTAGCAGAGTTGGTCAACAACAATGGGCCCAACTGCTAAGAGAGTATCTACGAGCCCTAACAACACTATATGTTGGGACAAGGTCATATTATGGAATTATTGCCCTGGTTTTTCAAAATGACTGAAAAATATATGTTTAATTTTTTAAATATGTAATTTGTATAATTTGTAAATCAATCCATATTTATAGTAGCGGATTTTGATCATAAAAGGACAAATTTGCTGACAACTAAATGTTGGGACAAGTATTTTTAAATAATTAATATCATCATAGGCGGCTTTGCTATAAACGTCACAAATGTCGCAAACTGTTTACTTCAGCATTGACAGCTTGTAAGTCACACGACACGATACTTTGAGTAGTGAGATTTACTGTAAGAAATTTAATTTTTTTTAATTTTCAATTTTGTTAATTTTATCCAAAGTAATGGTCAGTGGAAAAGCTACAAATCAAAAACTACGCGAAATTATCAATCGTCAATACAGTACAGGAAAAACAATTCGAAAAATTTCTGATGATTTAAGTATTCCAAAAACCACGGTCTTTAATATAATAAAAAAATACGGCGAATCTGCCAACGTAGACGTTAGAGGTAAAAGTTCGGGAAGGCCAAAGTTGTATCTCAGAGAGATTTACGAAATTTAGTAAAAATTTGCAAGTACTTCTACCCGCGAAGTAACAGTTAAATGGAATACTGTAACTGGTGTAAATATATCAAGAGAGAATGTTGCCGAAAATATATCCACAAATGCGGTCTGGGGTTTTACAAGGCAAACTTTATTTTGTGTGGATAATCAATTACCTGAAGATTATTGATACAAATTCTTATTTAGGCCAAAGAAAAACCGCTACTGATAGAAATTCAAATAAAAAATCGCTACAATTGGGCAAAATCTAAATTATCGTGGACACAAAATGATTGGAATAAGGTCATATTTAGCGCTGAGTCTAAATTTGATGTTTGCGTGGGAGATCATCGAAAACGAATAATACTACATAAAGCAGAAGCCTTTCATAAAGATTGCTTAAAGAGGGTTGTTAAATTTCCTAAGGGGATTATGGTTTGGGGTTGCATGTCAGCAAGAGGTTTGGGCAAATTAAATTTTATAGATGGCACTGTTAACGCCCAAAAATATCAACATATTCTTGAGGACCTCACTTTTGCCTAGTGTTCAAGAATTGTTTCCAAACGAAGACTATATTTTCCAACAAGATGGAGCATCGTGCCATTCAGCAAGATCAACTAAAAATTGGTTCGGTAATAATAATATAAAAGTTCTATCCCATCTATCCCTCTTTGACATTATAAACATTTATAAATGTTCGTTTTAACAATAAGACTGACAATATTATTTGTATAATGTTTTGTATTATCTTTTGTTTGTTTGTTTGTGTACCTTGTTTTTTTACTTTGTTTATTAGTTTACCTTTGTCTACAAATTGAAAATTTTTTTGACAATAAAGGCATTTATTTATTTATTCCTTCAAGTAGTCCGGACCTCATTGTTATAGAAACTGTGTGGCATAAAATGAAACAATATTTAAGAAACCACCCTCAATGAACAATTTTTGATTTGCGGACAAAACTGCAGGAAATTTGGGATAATTTTTCTCCTCAAATGTGCCAATCTGTGGTAAATACAATGCCATTAAGAGTTCAGGCAGTTGTTAAGGCGAGAAGTGATGTAACTCCGTATTAAACAAATTTCTTGTTGTGCTGTCCCAATATATAGTTGTCAGCAAATTTGGCTTGATTTTGTCAAAATAAGCTATTATCAAAAGTGATTTGTTTGCAATGTTATAAAAATATAGTAAAATTGTCTAGATCATATTGTAATGTTTAAATTTAGAATAATAAACAAAATAAATTTAGTCGTTTTAACAAATTACTATTTTTATTGCAAAAAAAGACCTTGTCCCAACATATAGTTGTTAGGGCTGGTAAATAACAAAAAAATAAATACATATAATGAAATTGACAATTGTACATATTGGATTCTTATTTAAAGATGGCCTCCAATCTAATGAGCACTAAACATCTATATAATTGACTTGAAAACGAACTATCATCAGTTATTTTTGCCTCTACCTCGAGAGCGTTCGCTATTGGTTTAAAATGACGGCAATTTCGAAGAATTGAGACGGCGAAAAATTAAAAATAGTCAACTTTTTCAAATAAAGTTTTTCAGAATTCGATCAGTAATCCAATTTTTTAGGAATTTATTACTTGAGATATTAAGTTTGAGAAATACCCGAGAACAACTTTATGTGGGACACTGTATAGCACAATAAACTAAATAATCAAACACTTAAGACTAAAGGAATTATTAAATAGAATTTCTAATATTTCTTATCATAGATTAAAATATTGTTATTTACACATTCTTACCAATAACGAAATTAGGGAAACTACAGAAACTTTGTTGCTGATTCTTTTTCAATGCAAGTTATACAGGGTGTCCCAGAAATAAGTGCAAATATTTTAACTGGTAGTATAGTTCAACCCCAGAAACACGCCTATAATAATACAATAATTAATACATTCCTATTTTTTTTTTGAAAATTCGGAATTTTTTGAAAAATTTTTTGAAATTTTTTTTAGTTTTTAGTTAAAAAACATAATTTCTTGACAATATGGCAACATAGGTAGTAGATTAAATTTACAAGAAAGAAAATCCAGAAAAGATCCAGTGGTTCTCAAAATTTTTGCAAAAAATCATTTTTTTTTGGAAATGTTCAAAGTAAAATAATTCCGTTATTTTGGACTTATGTGAAAAATGATAGAGAGAAAATATATGTTTCATTTATCGAGATATACCACCCCTTAAAATATTTGCACTGATTTCTGGGACACCCTGTATTATAGCATGCATATTTAAATATCTTAAAAACCAAAGCTTTTAGACATATTAAAGCCTTATAATAAATGCTTTATTTTATGTCCTAGAATCCAAAAATGAAATAAAATACGGGATGTTCCATAAGAAAAAATATAACATTGGTATGGATTTTAATTCTGACACACCCTGTACAGGGTGAGTCAAATTCGACGCTTTTAAATGGAAACACCCTTTTCTATAGGAGATAGACGAAAACTAATATCGCTGTCTGGAGCTCAATTTTCATCAAAAACATGATGGTGAAAACCGCACATCAATATCTGTTACCGTTTCGGAGTTTCGGGGTGTTTTTCAAAAATGTGCATTTTTAACAAATCGCTGTAACTTTTTTGCTATGGAAAATTTTGTATTTCTATGAAAACATTTCGAAAGCACCTTTTTACGTAGAATTTAATGGTTTAAGTATAATTTTTTTAAAATTAATATTTTAAGAGTTATCAACAGAAAATTTGATTTTTTATTTGGGACACCCTCTATATTTTTAATTAACTGAAAAGAATTTAAAATTACCTTTCCAAAAATATAGCACACTTGACATTTTGTTATAACCTAACCCTTCGAAATACAGAATTTTTAAAAGTTCGCCACTTTTAACTAGTAGGCTTTGGACCCCTTATTGATGATATGCCCTTAATGGAACTCGAAAACATATTTTTCCAGCAAGACGACGCACCGCCTCTGAACGCTGAAGTTATCAACAATTTTTTGCAGCCAATTTCAAGAATAATAATTGTATAGCTAACCAAGATCCCAGCCGTTGGCCGTCGAGGCCGCCTGACTTAAATGCCCATGGATCTAATCCTATGGATATATTTGCGGAAGAATAAAAATTCTTTATTCTTCCGTATAATCTAGACAAGAATTAGAAATACTTAGCAGTTATTCACCCTCACTGAGTTAATGAATTCCGCGATGAATGTTCAAAAACGGTCCCGTCTGTCCATAATAGAAGAGAGTCGATATGTCGAACACCTGTAGCAAAATCTCATGTCTTGGTTTGCTATTTATTTTTATTGTTATTAGATATAGTTTAAATGTGTTGATGTTGGTTAAATATATTTTAATTTGTTATAAAATTCTGCATCTCTCATAGCAAATATTATTTTCGGTTTAATTGATGCTCACAGCTAGAATTTCTTTGCATTACAGCCGGTGCCGTTCAAAGCCTACTTATTTAAAGCGGGCGAATTTTTATATACTCTATATCTCGAAGAGGAACCAAGCAAAATATAAAGTGTGTTATATTTTTGGAAAGGTAATTTTAAATTATTTTCAATAAATTAAAAATATACAGGGTGTCCCATATAAAAAATCAAATTTTCTGTTGATAATTCTTAAATTATTAATTTTTAAAAAAATATACATAAACCATTAAATTCTACGTAAAAAGATTCTTTGGAAATGTTTTCATAAAAATTCAAAATTTTCGATAGGAAAAAAGTTACAGCGATTTGTTAAAAATGCATATTTTTGAAAAACACCCCGTAACTCCGAAACGGTAACAGATATCGATATGCGGTTTTCGCCATCATGTTTTTGACAAAAATTGAGCTCCAGACACCGATATTAGTTTTTGTCTCCTATGGAATCTCCTATAGAA